ACAGAGCCAAACTCCATTACCCACATGGCAGACAAAAAGACAGTAAAAGACATAAAATTACATACTGACACATTTTAGTACATAAAACACACATTTCTACATATCCCCAGATAGCTTGGATCTGACTGCACATTATTAGATGAATGGCACTCAGATCACACGAATAAGCCTTTCTGCAGGGAAAATAAACAGTTTAACCTGCAGGGCCATAGTCCAAAGGCAAGAGGCGGGCAAGCAGCCCCCTCCAAGGACACGTGGCGAGGTCGGTTTTGCCACACTTCTCCCCTTTGCCCCCCAGACTAACAGGGTATCTGACCTCCTGCCGGTCAGTGCCCTGGTTAGTCCAGCAACCCACCCACGAAGCACAAACAGCAGTACAGCCCACCCACAAGAAATGTTTACTCCACCTGGATAAAGTAGCAACTTGTCCATGTCCAGGTGCCTCACCACGGCTGTGTGGGGAGCTGGTAGACTGCCTTGGTGGGTTGCTGAGTGGGCAGAGACCAGCGGTACTCTGCCCTGGTGCCAGTGCTACCACCGAAGTAGCCTGATTGGAGCCTAGTTGTGGGAGGGGGAGACCGACCGTCTCCCCTCTGGGTACACAGCTCTGGGGAACAGGACCGACCATCTCTACCCCTTGGGCTGTAAGCGCAGAGACTACGGTCCCATCTGCACAGTTGCGGGGCTCAACATCTCCCCTTGGTTGGTTAGGCTGCCGCTGGAGAGAGGGTGTAACAAGCTCCTCTCTCTGGACTGTCAACTGCCGCTGGGGAGAGGGGTTAACAGGCTCCTCTCCCTGACACTCTCTCTGCTGGTGGAGAGGCGGACCAGCTGTCTCCCCTTTCATTATTTTGTCCTGCTGCTGGGGTGTGAGACTGACGGTCTCTGCCCCCTGCAGGACACACTGCCGCTGGGGAGGAAGGACGACACCTTCAGCTCCCTGGGGTACACACTGCCGCTGGGGAGGAAGGACGACACCTTCGGCTCCCTGGGTTACACACTGCTGCTGGGGAGGACGGATGACACCATCAGCTCCCTGGGGTACGCACTGCAGCTGGGGAGGAAGGACGGCACCTTCCGCTGGGGCAGCCTGTAGAAAGTCAGGCTCAGGGGAAGGAAACAAGGGAGGACAGAGGCCAGCGGCGCTCTGCCCAGTTGCCAGCTCTTCTGCTGGTGGGTCAGGGAACAAAGGAGTTGGCTGGGGAGGAGAAATATCACTTACCTCCCCCTGGTACTCCGGCTGCTGCTGGGGGGGGAGGTCGATGCTCTCCACCTTCTGTAACTCCAGCTCTAGTTGGGGATCTGGGCCGGTTGCCCAGCATCCCTGTAGGGCCGGTGGAGAGATCTCGGTCCCATCTCCACCTGCCTGCAGGGGGTCCTCCCAGGACCAGTCTATGAGGTCCTCTACCTCGGGTACCCCTGGTTGCTGTTGGGGAGGGAGACCGGTTGTCTCTTCCTCCAATAACACATTCTGCCGCTGGGGAGTGAGACCGACTGTCTCCCCTCCCTGTAAAACATACTGCCGCTGGGGATCTGGGCCGGGTGCCCAGCATCCCTGTAGGGCCGGTAGAGAGACCTCAGTCCCATCTCCACCGGCCACCTCGGTTTCTTCCTCGTCCCACTCTACCTGTGGCTGGAGTTTCTCCCAACGTGCCCACTGGCCTTCCCTCAACGCCCTGTGTTGTAGGTTCCGGGTCACCATGTCCCACACGAACCGCACGTATTTCTCCTCTGGATTGGGTCCGTAAAACTTCAGGTGCAACCCTACCATCGTGCCAAACTCTAGTACGGAGTAGCTATACGCCATGCTTGCTGTAGCCACTGCTGGTTCCATTATGTTGCTGAAGATAAGGACGCTGCACAACTCCACACGTTACCGGTGTCTCCGAGCTGCTTCTCCTCGCACTAGGATGCCATCCCGCCGCTTGCCACCAATGTAACGGATCACCTGGCACCCCGACTGGGTACCTCCGTTGAAAGATGCTCCTAGCGCTTCCAGAGGACTCCAAGCACTCCACCAGACACCATAAGCACCGCAGGCTGCAGCTATCTCCCTTCAGAACGAAGCAGGAACAAGCTCTTACAAGAGCTCAGTGATTATAGCAAGGGAATATGCCTAGCATAGCAATCCCTTGTAGCAGATTCCCCCAATAAGAGACAGGACTCAAGTTGAGGGTAAAAATAGAACTCTCTGGCTGCTAGCTTGCAGCCCTTTTTATTAGGTGCTCCCATGAAGGGGAGGGACACACACAGTAACGTACATTAACCAATCACACAATAGTTACATCCCACACATAGCCCTCCCCTCTACCTGTAAACTAATTATCTGTACACACAGGGAAATACAATTATCATAGGTAGGGAAAATACAGTTTTTACACAACATTCATAACTCCCAAAATATACATCACATTCGCATAAAAATACATATTCACAATCAATCCATTCAGGGGAACAACATATTAAAAAATGGCATGAATCAGACCAGGGGTTCAAAAGTTAGTAAAAGTATCTTTTGTTCCCCCTGGCTCAAACAGTAAAAGTAAAACATCCCCACAATGCATCCTGGCTTCCTCCCTTCTGCCCTGGAGATAATTGGAGAAGGAATCTAATTATCTCCAAAGACAGAGCCAAACTCCATTACCCACATGGCAGACAAAAAGACAGTAAAAGACATAAAATTACATACTGACACATTTAGTACATAAAACACACATTTCTACATATCCCCAGATAGCTTGGATCTGACTGCACATTATTAGATGAATGGCACTCAGATCACACGAATAAGCCTTTCTGCAGGGAAAATAAACAGTTTAACCTGCAGGGCCATAGTCCAAAGGCAAGAGGCGGGCAAGCAGCCCCCTCCAAGGACACGTGGCGAGGTCGGTTTTGCCACACCGTTGTGCGGAGTTCGGTGAGGTGGTGGTTTAGTTGGGCAAGTTTCTCTTTTTTGTGGGCCATGTCTGCCGAGATAAGGCTGCCTTATGCGCTGCCCAGAGGGTACCCTCCGAGGGCACCAAGCCTTTATTAGTGTTAAAGAAGTCCTGTATTGCTTCTTTGATTAAGTTTTTGATGTGTGGGATGTGTTGGGTTTAGGCACCAAGCCCATTGTCTGGTCGTATTTGGGAGCTTTATGGCTATGGAGATTTGTCCTATCTCCGTCTTGTCCGCATGTTGCAGTAGGGACGGGGAGGTCAGGAACATGTCAATGCGTGAGTAGGACGTGTGTGGGTGGGAGAAAAATGTGAAGTCCGCTGTCAGGGGGTGCTGTGTTCTCCATATGTCCACTAGATTTGTGTTTGTCAGGAAGGTATTTAATAGTTTATCTGTTTTTGCCTCGGGTGGGGGTTGCTGTCCTTTGTTGCATTCTACATCTGTCATTAGGTGGAGATGGCACCGCGTTGAAGTCCCCCCCCACCAACTTGTGGTGGGAGGGGAATAGGCTCAAGTGGGCCTGTAGGGCCATCCAGAAATGCACATTCGGGACCGTTGGGGCATAGACCGATGTGATTACATATTTGTTCGGGCCTAGATTTCCCGTTATGGTGAGGAACCGTTCCTGTGGGTCTGAGGCTGCGTTAGTGAATTGTATGGGGCAAGTTTTGCGAATGAGGATAGCTACCCCACATTGTTTCCCTTGGGGTGAGTTTGCCTGGTGACTTTCTACATAGTGTCGGTTACGTAGTGGGAAGGACCTATGCTGCTCAAAGTGCGTCTCCTGGAGGAGGAGGACATCTGCCTTGGATCTGGTGGCTCATCTAAGAACTCGGTGCCTCTTGTTCGGGTTGTTCAGGCCCTTGCAATTTATTGAGACACATTTTATTTTGGCGGTTGGCATTGTGTCGTGGTTCCTATTTTGTTTGGTGTGCGGGGGGAAGTAGTAGGGTATTAGGGTCGGATCTGGGGGGGAAGGGTCACTGGGATTTATCTGAGTGGTCATGGGGTGGTGTAGGGGTTGTGGATGTGGTTTGATTCACCCTTGTGAGGGGTGGTTCACGTGTGGTGTGTGAGGGGTGAGAAGAGAAGAGGAGGGATACTCACGCCCACCTCTCCTCCCCCTGTGATGGTTTACCTTGTGTACCTGGTGTTTTGTCTGGGAAACTTGGCTTCCCCTCGAGGGCCGGTGGGGTCCTGGTGGTGTCGTCTAGTGGTCTCTTCTTCCTATTCTCTATCTGTGTGGGAGGGTTCCTGTTGGGGGGATGAGCGGTCAGTGTCTGTTTCATGCCTTGTTAGCTCGTGGGTATAGCTTAGTGTCCCTAGTGTGGCCTCTTTGTAACTGCTCTGTCATCCAGGGGTCCCAGGTGAGTGGCTTAGTGTTTCCTATCAGAGTCATTCGAGGTGTTCAGGGCCCCTGGTGTTTTAATGGTCATGTTGGTTGGCGAACGATGTCCTTTGTCTCCCCTCAAGGCCCTCTTAGTCCTCTCTACCTCTGTCTTGCCCCCTCTTCCCGGCAGGTATATTTGAGTCTCATCCCATCCCTAGTCCCTCCCTCCCTCTTCCTTTCAACCTGTTCCCGATTCATACAGCAAACTTAAACAGGAACATTAAGGCAGTTTAAAAATAAAACATCATAAAACCTTCATAAAACCTTATAAAAATAAAATGCGAGAGAAAAGGATATTGGCGTTGGTCAGAGAGCTTGTTTGTTTTTTGGTAGTGCTGGGGGGTGAGGGTCTCTGTTGAGTTTTGTGGCGGAAGGTAAGGACCCCCTTTTTTTTTGTGTTTTCTTTTTCCTCCCCCTCCAAGTCAGTTGTGGTGTTCAGGGCCCTTGGATTTTTAATGATCCTGCTGTTCGGTATACATTTTCCTTTTGTCGCCTTTTAAGGTCCCACTTTCCCACCTTTCCTCCGTCCCGCCCCTCCCTCCCGGCAGGTGCATTTGAGGCTCAACCCGTCCCCATACCCTTTCCCTCCCCTCCAGTTTGACATATTTCCCATGCATTCAGCAGTATACAACAGGAACCTTAAAGCAATATATCAGTAAAGCATTATAAAGCATTATAATATAGAATGCGAGAGGAAAGGATATTGGCGTGGGTCAGAGAGCTTGTTCGTTTTTTGGTAGTCCTGGGGGGGTGATGGTCTCTGATGAGTTTTGTGGCCGAAGGTTAGGGCCGGTGCAGACTGCCATTCTGAGATCTCAGAGGTGCTCTCTTTCTCGGCGTGCGTTGGGGTGAGTGGCTGGTGGTCTCTTGGTATCTCCGGGAGCTTCCTCTTGGGCCCAATGGCCTGTGTGGTTGCAGGGGCAGAAGTGTTATGCCTAGGGATTCTGTGAAGGGAACCATCTCAGCTGCATTAGACAATATGTGAGTCTGGTTTTCCCTGAGAACTACCAGCTTGAAGGGGTGTCCCCACATGTACCTTATGCCATGGTGGTTGAGGGTGTTCGTTAATTGTCAGAGGTCCCTCAGTTTCTTCAGGGTCGTGGGCGCTAAGTCCTGGAAAAGAGCTATATTTTTTCCTGGAAGGTTGGAGGATTTTGTCGTGCTCTTTGGACCAGCTGCATCCGCTGCATCCGCACTATTACATCCCTGGGGGTGTCCGGGTCCAGCGCCAGAGGTCGAAGTGCTCTGTGAGCCCTGTCCATCATGAGGTCTTGTAATGGGGCCTCCGGCAGTATTTTTTTGAACAGGTCTATGAGAGCGGCCTGTAGCTGGTCGTTGGTTACTGTTTCCGGTAGGCCTCTCATCTGTTATTAAGGTCCTCTATTTGCTGCCTCTGCTACGGGGCCCTCCATGTCGGGACGTCAAGATGGCGGTTTTGGCGCGCTTTGCGGGCAGAATATCGATGCCACAGAAGGGGTTTTCTCCTTCTTTCTTTTCCCTCCACCCATGGGGGAGGGGGTGCCCAGGTCTGGTGAGGCTGATATGCTCTTTTTTGCGGGTGTATGGTTCTTTGGGTAGTGGATGGTGGCAGATTCTAATCACGGGGGAGAGAGAGCCGCCAGACTATGCGTCAATCTTCTATCGCGGTCAAGCTCTGCCCCCCAAGATTTACGTTTTTTAACCTTTCTTTGTAAATAAAGTTCTCCATTCCTTTTATCAATTTTGTAGCTAGTCTATGCACTTTTTCTAGTGCCATGATATCCTTCTTTAGAACAGGTGCCCAAAATTGCACAGCATATTCAAGGTGTGGTCTTACCAGCGATTTATAAAAAGGCAAAATTATATTTTCATACCGAGAATTTATGCCCCTATATATAAACACACATGACAAAACCTTACTGGCCTTAGCAACTGCAGATTGACATTGCATATTGCTGCCTAATTTGTTGTCTATAACAATTCCCAAATCCTTCTCGTGTGTGGTAATCCCTAGTTAAATACCATTTAGGGTGCAAGTTGCTTGTGCATTCTTGACCCCAAAGTGCATGAGTTTGCACTTCTCTACATTATAGTTAGTTACATAGTTACATAGCTGAAGAGAGACTTGCGTCCATCAAGTTTAGCCTACCTCACATTTGTTTTTTGCTGTTGATCCAAAAGAAGGCAAAAAAACCCAGTTTGAAGCACAATTTTGCAACAAGCTAGGAAAGAAATTCCTTCTTGACCCCAGAATGGCAGTCAGATTTATCCTTGGATCAAGCAGTTATTACCCTACATTGAAAGATTATATCCTTGAATATTCTGTTCTTGCAAGTATGCATCTAGTAGCCGTTTGAACATCTGTATGGACTCTGATAAAACCACTTCTTCAGGCAGAGAATTCCACATCCTGATTGTTCTTACAGTAAAAAAACCTTTCCTTTGCCTTAGACGAAATCTTCTTTCTTCCAGTCTAAACGCATGGCCTCGTTTCCTATGTAAAGTCCGGTTTGTGAATAGATTTCCACACAATGGTTTGTATTGGCCCCGAGTATATTTGTATAATGTTATCATATCCCCTCTCAGGCATCGTTTTTCCAAACTAAATTGGTTTAAATTTGTTAACCTTTCTTCATAGCCGATATGTTCCATTCCTTTTATTAGTTTTGTAGCCCGCCTCTGCACTTTTTCTTGTGCCATAATATCCTTCTTTAGAACAGGTGCCCAAAATTGCACAGCATATTCAAGTCTTACCAGTGATTTATAAAGAGGCAAAATTATATTCTTGTCCCGAGAATGAATGTCCTTTTTCATTCATGACAATACCTTACTGGCCTTGGCCATTGCTGATTGACATTGCACATTGTTGCATAGTTTTTTGTCTATAACAATTCCCAAGTCCTTTTCATGTGTTGTTATCCCTAATTCGCTTCCATTAAGGGTATACGTTGCTTGTGTATTCTTTACGCCGAAGTGCATAACTTTGCATTTTTCAACATTAAATTTCATCTGCCATTTGAGTGCCCAGTTCCCCAGTCTATCTAAATCCCTCTGCAACAAAGTAATATCTTGCTCACATTGTATTGTTTTACAAAGTTTGGTGTCATCTGCAAACACTTAAACATGACTTTCAATGCGGTCTTCAAGATCATTTATAAACATGTTAAATAGAAGGGGTCCCAGAACAGACCCCTGAGGGACACCACTTGCCACCTCTGTCCAGCTTGAAAATTTACCATTAATGACAACTCTTTGTACTCTGTTTTTAAGCCAATGTTCTACCCAAGAACAAGCATTTTCATCTAGACCGATTTCCTTGAGTTTGAACACTAATCTATTGTGTGGAACTGTATCAAATGCCTTGGCAAAATCCAAATAGATCACATCCACGGCAACACCCTGATCTATACTTCTACTTACTTCTTCGTAGAACGCAATCAAGTTAGTTTGACATGACCTGTGTTTCATAAAACAATGCTGATTTTTGCTGATAACCATGTTCTTCTCAAGGAATTCTTGAATATTATCCCTTAATAACCTTTCAAATATTTTACCAGCCACAGACGTTAAGCTCACAGGTCTATAATTTCCAGGCAAGGCAAATTTCATCTGCCATTTTACTGCCCAGTGCCCCAATCTATCTAAATCCCTCTGCAGCAAAGCAATATCCTGCTCATATTTTATTACTTTACAAAGTTTTGTGTCATCTGCAAACACTAAAACATGGCTTTCAATGTCTATTGCAAGATCATTTATAAATGTGTTAAATAGAAGTGGTCCCAAAACAGAACCCAGAGGGACACCACTTACCACTTTTGTCCAGCTTGAAAATTTACCATTAATGGTAATGTACTCTATCCTTAAGCCAATGTTCTACCCAAGAACAAGAATAATCATCTTCACCAATTTCTTTTAGTTTGAAAACTAACCTATTGTGAGGAACAGTACCAAATGCTTTGGCAAAATCCAAGTAGATTACATCCACTGCAACACCCTGATCTATACTTCTACTTACTTCTTCGTAGAATGCAATCAGGTTAGTTTGTTGTGACCTATGTTTCATAAAACCATGCTGATTATTGCTAATAAAGATCTTCCAAATGAATTCCTGAATATTATCCCTTAATATCCCTTCAAAAATGTTCCTAACAACATCTGCCTTCCTCCAATCCTCCAGTACAATACCTGTAACAAAAGAATCTTGAAAGATTAAATACAGAGGTTCACTTATTTCCCCACTTAGCTACTTAAGCACTCATGGGTGAATACCATCAGACCCTGGTGTTTTATTTACACTATTTTTTTTTAACTGCTCTAGCACCTTGTCTCGAGTCATCCAATCACAAGTTATCTGCACATTTTTGGCAGCAATCATTTGCATATCTCTTGCCATGGGATCCTCATTAATATATACAAAAGAAAATTTGTTATTTAAAATGTCTGCCTTTTCCTGGTCTTCGTTAACTAACAGACCCATCACTGTTTCCAGTGTACCTACACTTTCATTTTTTTATTATTTTTTTTTAGAAATGATGTACTTGAAAAAAAAAATTGGGGTTGGTTTTGCATTCTTTGGCTACCCATTTCTCATTTTCTAGTTTAGCCACTTTAATTGCCTTTTTGCAAGCATTATTGGCTTCCTTATATCTTATACAGGATCCCTCTGATTTGTCTCCTTTAAATGCTTTAAATGCCCTTTTCTTAATTTTAATCTCTTGTTTTACGTCTCTACTAAGCCACATTGGTTTCAATGTGTTTCTTTTATATGTATTACCCAATGGTACAGAGACATGTACCTTTCTAATATTTGTTTGAAGAGCCATTTATCCTCAGTGTTTTTTCCACTAAGGAGTTTATGTCAGTCGATATGTTGTAGAGCTGCCCTAATCTTATTGAAATTGGCTTTTTTTTAATTATACATTTTAGTATACCCCACGTGTTTTTGTTTTTTTGAGTTTGTTTAAAAAATTACCATATTGTGATCACTGTTTTCCAAATGCTCCACTACTTCAATGTTGGTCATACGATCAACATTGTTATAACAAGATCCAGACAAGCATAGAAACATAGAATGTGACGGCAGATAAGAACCATTCAGCCCATCTAGTCTGCCCAATTTTCGAAATACTTTCATTAGTCCCTAGGCTTATCTTATAGTTAGGATAACCTTATGCCTATCCCACGAATGCTTAAACTCCTTTACTGTGTTAACCTCTACCACTTCAGCTGGAAGGCTATTGAATGCATCCACTACCCTCTCAGTAAAGTAATACTTCCTGATATTATTTTTAAACCTTTGTCCCTCTAATTTAAGACTATGTCCTCTTGATGTGGTAGTTTTTCTTCTTTTAAATATAGTCTCCTCCTTTACTGTGTTGATTCCCTTTATGTATTTAAATGTTTCTATCATATCCCCCCGTCTCATCTTTCCTCCAAGCTATACATGTTAAGATCCTTTAACCTTTCCTGGTAAGTTTTATCCCGCAATCCATGAACCAGTTTAGTAGCCCTTCTCTGAACCCTCTCTAAGGTATCAATATCCTTCTGAAGATACGGTCTCCAGTACTGTGTACAATACTCCAAGTGAGGTCTCACCAGTGTTCTGTACAATGGCATGAGCACTTCCCTCTTTCTACTGCTAATACCTCTCCCTATACAACCAAGCATTCTGCTAGCATTTCCTGCTGCTCTATTACATTGTCTGCCTACCTTTAAGTCATCAGAAATAATCACCCCTAAATCCCTTTCCTCAGATGTTGAGGTTAGGACTCTATCAAATATTCTGTACTCTGCCCTTGGGTTTTTACGTCCAAGATGCATTATCTTGCACTTATCCACATTAAATGTCAGTTGCCACAATTCTGACCATTTTTCTAGTTTACCTAAATCATTTGCCATTTGGCTTATCCCTCCTGGAACATCAACCCTGTTACATATCTTAGTATCATCAGCAAAAAGACATACTTTACCATCAAGACCTTCTGCAATATCACTAATAAAAATATTAAAGAGAATGGGTCCAAGTACAGATCCCTGAGGTACCCCACTGGTGACAAGTCCAAGCTTTGAATATATTCCATTAACTACAACCCTCTGTTGCCTGTCACTCAGCCACTGCCTTACCCATTCAACAATATTTGAATCCAAACTTAAAGATTGCAGTTTATTGATAAGCCTTTTATGTGCAACAGTGTCAAAAGCCTTACTGAAATCTAGGTAAGCAATGTCTACTGCACCACCCTGATCTATAATTTTTGTTACCCAATCAAAAAAATCAATAAGATTAGTTTGGCATGATCTCCCTGAAATAAACCCATGTTGTCTCTGTTTTTGAAATCCATGTGTTTTTAGATGTTCAACAATCCTATCTTTAACATGGTTTTCA